ACAAAAAGCTTTAAGAAAAGAAAGTGCTATCCCAAGTGGTTATACTTTGCTGTGTTACCTTAGGTTAATCAGAGTGCAGAGTCCTGGACAAAGGTTTCATCAGGTGCATGTATTAGTTTCCAGTGGCTGTTGTAACAAATTATCACAAACTTGGTGGCTTATGACAATAGAAATTTATTCTCTCAAAGTTGTGGAAGCCAGAGTCTGAAGTAAGTACCACTGAACTGAAATCAAGGTGTTGACAGGGTTGTGCTCCCTCTGGAAGCTCTGGGGAGATTTTGTTCTTTGCCTCTTCTAGTTTCTGGTGTCTGCCAGCATTCCTTGACTTGTGACCCCATCACTCCAATCTCTGCTTCAGTGATCACATTTCCTTCCCTACTGTGTGCAATTTCCCTCTGCATGTTACTCAAAGGAACATTTGTGATTGCATTCACACCCTGCCCTGATAATCCAGCATAATCACTCTATTTCAGGATCCTTAATTAATCACATCTGCAAAGACCCTTTTTTTTTTCTTTCACATAAAAGGTAGCATTTACAGGTTCCAAATAGATTATTTTAAAAAATTAAAGAAATTGGTAAGGAACTACTCTTCTCAATTCATTAAGTAAGCTTGAAAACCAAGATGAAATAGACAATATTCCAGAATTGTATAACTTGCCAAAACTATTTCCAGCAGAAATGGTTTTGCACTTTGATTAACCTAAGGTAAGTAAGATTTCCAAAATACAAATAGAGAAAGGTCAAAGAACTTTCCTTTCCCCTTTCTCCCTCTCCCCCAAATAATAAAGTGCCTGGACTAAACAATTTCACAGGGTAATTCTAACAAAAGTTTTAAAGAGCAGATAATTGAGATGATATTTTAACTGTTGTAGAGTACAGAGGGAAAAAAGGAATGCTTCCAAGTTCTTTTTATGAAATAGGCATAAACATTATCCCACAAGTCAACTGGGATTGCACAAAAAGAAAACTATCAACCATACATCAAAGGTTCACCAGCAGGCACTGATAATTCAATATTAGGATATATGGAAATAGACTTTTTGTATTCAAACACAACAAGTTAGAAGACACAACAAAAGGAAAAATTCCTTATTTTCAATAACAACACAAAAGATAAAATGTCAGAGAGAAAATGTATGAGATCATTATTTTTAAAAACTTTAAAATGATACAAAGTAAGATATGAACAAAAGACAAAGCATCTCATGTCCTCGAATAGGATGACTCACCATCATAAAGATGTCAATTCTCCCTAAATTAAACTACAATTTTCACACAAGTCTAATAAAAATGTCAGCATCATTTTGTCAGAGTAATCAGGCTGAGTCAAAAGTTCATGTGGAAAAATAAACAAATAAAAATAGCCAAGAAAAGCCTGTAACAGAAGAGTGATAAGGGAGAAAGCAGTGTTCAAGTATTAGCACATTATAGAGCTTCAGTAATTAAAATAGTGTAATAATGTCACATGAATAAGCAGACAACTCATGGAACAGAGTATGAAGTCCAGTAATAGACATTCACCTGTCTATGGCATTTTAGAAAAAGCGGCATTGCAAATATGTGGGGGAAAGGTGGATTACTTAACAAATAGTGTTGAGAAAAATGAGTCAGATAGAAGAAAATGAAAAAAAGGCCTGGTTCTATTCCTCACACCTAATAATGAGATAAATTCCAAATGTATTAAACTTTGAAGCATGGGGACAAAAAGATCCAAATACCGTAGGAAACCATAGAAAGTGGAAGACCTTTCTATTTATGACATGAAACTCAGAAGCCATAAAAGACTGACATACACAATTACATGTTTAAAATATGTGCATGGTAAAAAGCACAACAAGCAAAGTCAAAAGGCAAATATCAAATTGGGAGGACCCCACTTATGAACTTGTATCACAGACATAAGGTTAATCTCACTAATGTACAAAGAGTTTTTAGAAGTCAATGAGAAAAAGACAATCCAACAAAAAAATAGGCAAAATACACTGAAAGTTCACAGAAAAGGAAATATGAATTGCTCTTAAACATATATTAAGAAGCTCACTCAAATAAGAAAAAAAATTAAACCGTTTTCACCTGTAAGACTGGCAGAGATCAAAGTTCAATAATCGTGTGGAGGAACGGGGTGAGGAAACAGGTTTTCATAATTGTTGGTGAGAGTATAAATTGGTATGACTTCTGTGAAAAGCAATTAGTAATGTACATCAAGGTAATAAATGCCCCACCCTTAAGAAACATATTCTAAGATATAATTATGTGCTTATTATATGATGTATGCACAAGGCTATTTACTGTAGCACTATTTGTAAAAGAGTGGAAGTAGCCTAAACAGTCTATTAATGTCTATCAATATGAGCCCAGTTAATACGACTAATATGGAATGATCTCCAAAATTATTGGAGGAAGCAATACACATATATACACAGACATTTCTAAAAATATACATAAGACACTGATAAGACTGGCTGTGTTAGGGAAGGGGAACTGGGTGGCTGGGGGAGAGCAGTGTGAAGGACACTTTTTAGTATATATCTTCTTTTGCCTTTTTCATTTTTAAAATTTAAAAATTAATAGGAAAGGTAATAAGGCCTGTGAGTCATAATTGCCAAAATGAACTATAGAGATAAATAGTAAAATGAATAAATACAACAGAAATAATAACGTAAAGTTAGGTTTCAACCTTGTCCTCCTTTTTACTTCCAGCAAAACGCACATGTCTTCCTCCAATTATAGTTTTGCTTGTTTTTATTGGCCTCAGACCCTATGATTTTATTTATCTCAAGAGATATCCTAACTTTTCTAATAATTTTCCAAACAATACACCTCCATTTCAACATGTACTATGTGCAGTTCTAAAATGTGGGTTCCATAGAAGCCACTGTTGAATTTTGGAAGGCTATCACAATAACAAAAAAATCTTAAAATCATTCATTGGAGACAATCATAAGAGAAGCAGTGCATCTTTTGGAATTACTTTAAAAAAACAGTGGTTAAAATAAAAACTTGCCTGTTACTTGGAAAATATGTTATGGGCTATTTTAATAGTATTTGTTTGGAGAATTAAACATGTCCTTTCCATGCACTCTTAACTGTAACAAGCACACTAAAAACAGATAAACTTTTAAATTATATATAAATTAGTAAAGTCATATGTCAAATAACTATGGCATCCAGGGGAATGCACAATTCCAGATAGTGGGATGTAAAAAAATGTTGGAATTTCAATTTCTATTATTTTTTCTTAGTCTTATAATAAAATAGTATATTAATATATAATTTCTAAGTAATAAACAGGCATATATAAATGCTATCGTGTGCTCAATATTTTTTATTCATAGAGGTGTGTAAGCAAAATGTTTGGTAACACTGCCAAATAATGATATGCTTTCACATAAATAAGGAGAAGTCACATCCACTATAGAATGTTTTAACAGGCATAGCAAGAAGCAGCAGCCATAAGTGATGAATCTCTAAGTGAAATACTATTATATTTATTTGATATGGCACTATCTGAAGAGAGATTCTCAATAAATAAAAGAATTTTCAAGTTAGGAAAAGAATGTTAGATGTCACCTATTCCAAATCTCCTTATTTCAAACATGAGGTAATTACAGCTAGAGAGAATAAAAATTGTCATATGGCTGTCTCATAGTGACAGAGCCAGGTATAGAACCCAAATTTCCCAAACCTCTGTCTTTCTACTATACACAGTGACTCGTGTGTGAGGAAAAGGGG